AGTTATGTATCTGTACCATGCTTCGAGGTTTCTAATATTTGTTAATTAGAAATAATTTATTCTACATCAATAAGGATTTCTAATTTTTATTAATTTTAATTAATTCTTATTAATTAAATAAATTATGAAAACACACAGAACATATGTAACGGAAAACATTAATTAATATTCAAAACGTTTGAACCCAACAAAACAAACATCATTAATTATTATTCAAAAACTAGAATAATTATAAAACTATTATGAGCCTTAATTATGATTTTTTTTGTTCAAATTAATTCAATTAATCTAATTAACCACAGGTATGTGAACATTAACTTGAACATCACAGTGCTAGACATCAACGATAATGCTCCATATTTCGGAAACCCACCGCAACCCGGCTATCATAATCAACACCTCCAACATCATCATCAGCACCTCCATCGTCTTGCTCAGCTACGACAGCAGCAGCAGCTTCAAGATTTAGCGATTAATGAAGCGACAGAAGTTGGAAGTAGTTACGTTATAGGTCATGTGATTGATCCAGACTATGGCGCCAATACGGTTCAAAGGTATTTTTAATTTTTATTTAATTTTATTTATCAATTTTTTTTAAATTTTATTTTTACAAAAATTTAATTTACATGAGTTAAAAGTAATATTTTAAAAGTTGGAAAAATATGATAGTACGTGAAAAGATATATAAATCCTAACACTTAAAGTAATATTCACTAAAATTGTGAAATTAAAATGATGCCAAATAAAAACATTACAATAATTCAGAGGTAGCTAATTACATAATGGCTTAGTATACTACAAATTAGCTACAATCATCAAAGGTTAATGTGTTAACAAATGCATACATGTGTTCTCGATATGACAACAACATTGTTATGAACAGCTTGTCGTTGCATAACATGCTTGATTAATCTGTCTGTGTCTGCCTCTTTCTATGTCTGCAATTTCTATTTTACATGAATAGTAGTGTAAAAGCTATGTTGGCTTTTAACTTTAAGATGCTTAATAAAATGAAAGTCGCAGCGCTGTCACACGTTAAAAGAACAAAACACGTGAACTGATAGACAATGAACAAACACATCCTTGACATACATACATACATACGTACGTACGTACGTACATACATACATACATACATACATACATACATACATACATACATACATACATACATACATACATACATACATACATACATACATACATACATACATACATACATACGTATCAAAACATACATACATACATACATAGGTATCAAAATCTTTCAATAATTGCATGTTAATACGACAACAAACATTCAGATGAAATATACGAAATTGTCTATATGATATCATGACATTATCTGAGATCATAGTAGAATTGAGTTTAGCATAACGCATAACTCAATAGATTTAATATAAAGCAAATTCGCTCATGCAAACATTAGAGAGGTGCACAATAACTACGTAACGATGTTGTATTTGCAGAGTTATTTGCATGGACATTGGTTTATTTAGATTGGGTTAATATGTAGTGGCTAATAAGTGGTTGATTAACCATTAAAGTTTGTACTTTGGCAACGAAATCCATGAATGTGTAATCATTCATTATGCAAAACCTAAAAATTTTACTTAAATTTCATATTTTATTTATCTAACGGGATTGATTTGATACAACAAACAACTTAATCACTATTTTGAAACTAATCAATTTTACAAAACTTTTTCAAAGATGTTACCTGGCGAACGAGACAGAAACTTTTGAACTGACTTGCAAGCCAACGTCCACATCATCAGTTCAGCTGATGTCGCTGGTGCTGAAGCAGCGACTAGACCGAGAGGAATGTTCCACTTACACGTTACAAATCATCGTCGAGGATGGCGGGGTCCCGAGTTTCAGCAGCTCATCACTACTTGTTGTCAAAGTCGAAGATGCTAACGATAACTCGCCGGTATTCACGACTGACAAGTATCAAGTCCGAATATTCGAAAATACCGACCCCGGTTCATTAGTCTTGAACGTATTCGCCACCGATCCCGATTTAGGTAGCAACGGTGTAGTTTGGTACAGCTTCAATGACGAGGTCCACCAAAATGTTCGGAGTACGTTTAAACTGAACAGCTTAACGGGAGATGTTACTTTGCATTCGAATATTGATTACGAAGAACAGTCGGAATATTCTTTCGTAATGGAAGCTTACGACTTCGGAGACGTTCCCAACACGGGCAGTGCAGCTGTTGTCATCAGCGTCATTGATCTCAACGACAACCCACCTGAGATTAAAATTAACTATCTTGACAGCAACAACAATTTCGCAAGCCTTGAAGAAGTGTACGGCAGCTTGGTTGACTTTAAGTTGAGCAATACGAACGTCAGTGACAACTCCGACACAACGGTTTGTTTGGTTACGGTCAACGATTACGATGGTACCTCCTTGAACTCCCGGTTCAATTGCTTCATAAATGATTCGCGCTTCTACATGCAAGCAATTTATTCAGGCGATACTTTCATAGTGAAAACGAATGAGTTCTTTGACAGAGAAGTTGAATCGAAAATAACCGTATCTTATACTTGCACTGACACAGGAAATCCTCCTTTATCGACAACCGAATACATCCGAATCATAATTACCGACGTTAATGACAACCATCCCGAGATCAAATATTTTTATAATAATATTAATGACGACTACGATTATAGTCCTTATGAACCTAACAAACCAGGCGTTCGAATTGCTTTCAACAAATCCGACCGATATTCATTTAATGTTTCGGAACTTGCACCGATAAACACTTCTTTAATTACTATCATTGCTACAGATAGAGACGAAGGACAAAATTCCGCTCTGAAATACCAAATAATCGGTGATGATAATTTATCCATGGAGCAACAAACCGTAATTATCCGAAAATCCTTCGATAGAGAAAAGCAAGATTTTCACGAATATCGAATCGAAATATCGGACCAAGGTGAACCGATGCAGCTAACATCTACAATGTATATCTCGATACTCATTCAAGACGAAGACGATAATTATCCTATTTTTGGCTCGACTTTGTACCATTTCACCATCCCTGAAAACGAACAATCAGGCAGCCATGTAGGAGTTGTTACGGCAAGCGATGCCGATGTTTCAGATGGTTACAAGAATTTTGTGTACTGTCTTGTCGGCGAACCACAAAATGAAAACGCGAAGTATGGAAACTTTACAGAAAATGTTAGCAAGAGAGTCTATAACAAGAATGATGACGGGCATAGAAATGATTACAAACTTTTTGGCGTCAACCCAAAAACTGGAGAAATAAAGACAAAAATATCTTTTGATCGTGAGGTGAGTGAATTTGAAGGCCTGAGTGTTTAAATGATCGTGATAGTAATTTAAATGATATAACGTTAGTGATAAATGAATGAAAACTTTAAGAAGATAATAATTAGGTTTATATTAGAAATATTTATATCTTCTCATTTTAAAAATTTAAATTACTTTTATTTGAAATTTTAATCAATTTAATTTAATCCTATTCACTCCACAGTTGAAGTCGACATACAACTTACCAATCTGTGCACACGCTAAATCTGACTGTTCAGCATCATCTTCGATATCAACATCATCTTCACCATCATCATCAACATCACCATCATCTTCATCGCCATCATCATGTACAATGGTGAACATCACAATCTCAGATGTTAATGACAATCCTCCTACTTTCACCTACCCCAAACAATGTATCGCCGACAACAACAACAACAATGCAAACACGTTTAAATTTTCAGTTAAGTCATCCCCTAATAAACCAATCACAACATTTTCCGCTGTTGACCTTGACAAATATGACGTCATTGCAATTAGTCGGAAGAACAAAAGAGACAACAACAAGAAACAGCAGATCAAAAACAACAATCCCAAAAAAGACAACAACAACAACATCAACAATAATAATAGTAATAATAATAAAAATACCAAACATAAAGACAATAACATAAATTTCAATGAAAACATTGAAATTCAACACCAACATCACAAATTCACCTTGCTTTCTTCGCCATTTTATCATGATGAACCTCTATTCAACATTAACGAAACAACTGGGAAATTAATTCTTATGCAAGAAACTTATCAAAAAACTGCTCAAAACAGACTTAATAATGACAATAATAACAAAAACACTGACATCAATCACATCACTGCCAGCGTCTTATACAGAAATTCAACCAATAACATTAACAACTACAATTACAGTATTGTTGATGACATTAACAGCTTGGATGCGAGCCACCTACTGGAGAATTTAAAAGTCACAGTGAGAGTTTATGATGTTGAAAACACGTCATTGCACAGGTTAATAATATAAGTTCAACAAACTTTGTACATTACTAAATTCTATGATAATTAATTTGTGTACATTTTAATATTAATTAATTCATAATCATGGAGGCGTGATGGCCTAGTGGTTAAGGTCGTCTGGTGCTGTTTCTCGCAGTAACCGGGTTTGAATATGACAAAAAGATCCCAGCCTATCACATGCTTCGTGTGTGATGCGTCGTTTAGCGTGTATTCATAAACGATGCTTGTGCGTTTTGTTGAATCCTCTGAACTTTGGAAGTGTTATCGACCTTTAACCTTTTAACCTTTTTAACCTTTATAATTAATTACAATAATTATCTCTTTTTTCGGGATTTTCAAATTGCAATCTTTTTTCCGACAGCGATTGCACGATCCAGATAATCTTAGAGGAAGAAGATGCCGATGATGAAACAACAGGAAGTGATGATGAACGTGAAAAGAATCTATCACTATCATCAGATATATCATCATCCTCATCCTCTTCTGATAGATATCTAACGTGGATAATCATAATATCAACGATATCATCGGCGCTCGTCACCATCATCCTCGTCGCCATCATCGTCATGTCGGTACTACAAAGAAAAAACAAAAAAGCATACAATAAGGAGAACATCATCAACCGCATTTACAGAATTAACAACAGCAACAGCAGCAGCAGCAACAACAATAACAGACACGTTATCCACCGATCCCAAAACAACAACGACGACGAAAATAACAACCGCAATAACATCAACACTAACTTAAGAAATTCTAGCGACCCAGCCAAAAAACCTGACCTCATTCAGTACCACAGAATGATCAAGGTATCATCTTTAATGCCAAGTGGTGATGAAATTATTAAAAAAAATATTTTTGATGGGCAGAAGATTGAAGGCGACGGCTATGAAAACCAAAATGTCAACAAGATTGCTAATCATTTCGAGAATTGTGATGAAATAAAATTGGAGGTAAGTAAATTTAAAACGTTTTTTTTAATTCAAACTTCAGTTAACTAGTTTAGTGGTTGGATGTCTAGTGATCAATATTATTTAATTTTTTAACTTTTTTCTAGCTTCCAAGACAAATTTCGACTTTTCTGTCACTGGTGCCGTTTCAACAACAACAACAACATCATCATCAACAACAACAACAACAACATCAACAACAACAACAACTATCTTACCATCTTGAGCAGCACCAAGGTATTCACCGTGGATCGAAATCCGACTTGGAAACCTGCTCTACCTCGGGTAAAAATATAAAAATTACAATTTTATTTTTTTGTTTACAATCATATTTTTTGACTATAAAAATTTAAGTTCACAATTATTAAAATAAAATCATTAAAACCTTCAGTTGTTATTATTATTATTAAAATTAAACTTTCCACTGCAGGCTGTTCATCATTCGAATCGTCCTCAGAGACGAGTCCAAGCAAGAATCTTAACGTCATTCCGATTCCAGACCAAAGCGTTGTTTCATCTGTTGCTACCGGCGTTCAGCCGCTGCCATCTGCGTCAGCATCATCACAATATTCATCACCACAACCACCAGCACCACCATCGTCGCCACAAGTG